CATTCACACTGGCTAACAATCTGAGCTGAGAGTTTCCTTATCAAAATCTCATCCAAGCCTGTGAATAGGAGGCTCACACAGCCCCACTTCTCCCTCTCACTCCATCCCCAGGACCAAGAAATACCATCTGGTGCCTGCGTTTTTGCACTTAGATAAAGTTTGGCTTTCCTGCCACACTGACCGAGTTGAGCTTTCAGAGATCCCTGGGAAAGCGGGAAAACGGGGATGTGGAAGGGGAGCAGAAGCCTATGGGGTCTGGGTTTCATCCTCCTTCTTGATCTGCGAACTCCAGGTTATATCTGCCCGGTTCGCCAAGGACTTGTAGGGGAAACACGGTATAGGAAGGCGGATAGAGAGTTGAATTTTCTCTCTCTCTCTGTTTCTCCACCTTGAACTTTGTTTTTTACAGAGTTATGCGGGCAGAGGTCTGTAGAAACAGGTTAGAATCAAGTTTCCATTAGTCTTGATTTGTTTATCATTCTAAATGGTAAAATGCATATAAAACCGGCAGCCCCAAACCACAGGCGTGCTTAAGGCGCGATTGTCGGCTTGGAAATGTCACAATGAATAATAGCGTAATGGACTTTTGCGTGTCGCGCCATAAAGGCGGGAAGCTTTCCAGGCTGCCTTGCTTCATTTCGGGCTCCATGTGGCTCCTAATTCTTTCTCTCCCATCCTCTCTCTTATCAAACTGGAAACGCTTCCCCTATTCCTTCCTTACCGGCCCTGAGAGCTTACTGGCGCTCTAGCTGGGCTAGCGCACCCGCTGAAAGGAAACACCGGGTCACTCATACAGACTCTCGGGCGCAGAACTTGGTTTTCTATTATTGGTTCTCCAGAACCGCTCGAGACAACTGGTCCCAGCTGGCGCATCGGACTGCAGTGAGGGATGCCGTGGGGCGAGTAGCGAAGGCCAGGTCTCTAGGCCAGTAGATTGAGTTCCCGGGTGTCCCGCGAGAAGTAGTGTTGCCCAGCTGGGAAGCCCATCAAACCTCAGTCTTGGCCCACAGTTGGGGAAAAATCAGTGGGTCCCAGACAGAGGTCCTCGCCCGCTTTTGGCGACCTCACTGGCGTGAACAAACGCGCCGCTCTCTTACCCTCAGAAACTGTAGGTGGCAAGGTCTTTATAAAGGAGTCTGGGACCATTAAGTCCCAAGGTGAGCGCGTTTCCAGCTCTGCCATCTCTGAGGATTTATGCAGATTCTGAGCAGCGCAAGTTTTTGGGAAGAACCTCTAGATGCAAACTCCTAAATTCTTTTTCCAAATTAATATTTATAATGGTTACACGGGATGGGCAAAAATCCAAAGACACCGTCTCCTAACCCTGAACCAAGTGTGACATCCGCAGTTTCAGAGTGGTTTTCACCTTCAGGGATCGAAGGAGTCGCCACTGGAATTCTGCCAGAATCTGCACCTTCTTTTGGTGGTGAAAGTCTTTCCCTCCTCCACTGCCTCCTACAGTCCTCTGTCTGACTGTACCCTTGGCGCTGGTGCCCTTGAGGTGGACGGCGAGGGCCGCGGGCCGGGGAAGATCCGGTCCGCAATAGCAGGGCGCTAGTACTGCGCCTGCAGGCCCGGGAGTCCTGGATGCACCTCCTTTGACCACGTTTTCTCCAAGGCTCCAGCTGTGCCTCGCGCCGGTCTCCACAACTCTGACCCAGGCGAGTCTCTAGAAGGCGGGCGGGAGGAGCCTCAGCAGGCGTAGTTTAGGGGATTCGAGATTCCGGAGATTGCCTGAGCACCGCGAAACCTCCAAGTTAAGTTCTCTCAAACGTGTGGTTACTCACCGCGAGGAGCTCAGAGGCAAAGTGTTCAATACTCAAGTTGGTGGGGACCTTCTCTACTTAAAGTTATAATTTGCTAATTCGGATCTATTGCTTTTAAATATCGAGTTCCAGAGACCTCTGGCAATACAGGCTTAATTTTATCCCACTGAAGAACGATGTTTATAAACGGCGCCTGCAGTGCGAACTGAGTGTGAAAATATCAGTTTTATGCCTTTTGATAAGAATTACCGAGGTGGAAGGCTTATTAGACGATTACAAATTTCGCAGCTGCTCGCAGGCCAATTAGGCAGCTCTTCGGGTGAGTGGAAGCTGTGGGGGTCAGGGAGGGTTGGTGTTCCCCCTCTCCGGCACCCGACCTCCAATCAAGGCCTGGCTCCATGGGATATAGACCCCTTCCCTTCCCCCATCGGTTTTTGGGGAGATATACTCTAGGCTTCCCTTGAGCAGGAGAGGCACAGCCTGGGACAGGATGCGCGCCGAAGTCTCTCACGCTGTCTTTACCCTGGGCTTGCAAAAAGCCCTGTAGTCCACGGGTGCTGGTAGACACCTTGGGTGGGCCTGCGGTCTCTGATTTTCAAATTTTCAATTTAGTAGGTAGGAATTGTCAGGACGCAGGCGATTCCTTTCCCACCTGCGGACATACAAGGTTTTGTTTTTTGTTTTTTGTTTTAATCAGTCTTCATTCAAAATCGGAATCCATTGGAGTTTCGGCCAAAAACCCTCATTACCAAGACCAAACAAGCAACCAAAAAACTCTTCTGATTTTTAGCCCAAGCACCCCTGTAAAGTAGCAAGATAACTTTTCCTTTGCCCCAGCCAAGGACGAGGATGGGTAAGAGGTGTGACGCGAGCTCCAAGGAACAGAGCCACCATGAAGAGGCTATACCTCTGTGTGCCCACCCCTGACAAAAGGTCAGAAGGTCTTTGGACCCCTGACTGACAGGACAATCAGCCCGGGATTCGTATCAAACACATCCCCCTCCTCTTGCACACTCGACCCATAGCCAAAGGCTTATACCGCCGGCGACACAGAAATTGACTCACCGCCCAGAGGCTTACAGCTCAAGGCTGGGTGCGCGCAGCTGCACCGCGGGACCAGTCAGCATCCCTCAGAGCGCCTGGAGTAAAGCGAGGCCAGACCAATCTTTCAGGTCTTCTGCTCCTGTCTGACGACCCAGAAATCTCTAAAAATGAATCATTTTCTCCACTTATGCAGCGATAGAAGCCCTTAGATCAAGATTAGTATTTTGAAAATCTGACTGAGAGCCGCCTGATTAGGCGAGGGTGGGTGAAAAGACCGCATTAACGCCCGCACCCCCGCCCTGCTTCCCTAACGCAGTTCTGGCGCTCTCTGGATCTCCAAATGACCCTCGCGATAAATTCTCCTCGATAGTAGCCAGGCAGTACCCCAAACTCACTTTAAAGCCTAACAGACACACACACGCACACATACACACACACACACACACACACACACACACACATAGTAATTAAATATCCAAACTGGACATTTATACTTAGAATTCCACTTTCAACGAAATCCTGCTCTATACACGACCTGATGGTGCCAATGTTCTGCACGACTCTGACTTTCCATTCGGAAGAATGCCGTTTCTCGAAAATGCATTATGTGAATTTCCCCACCACCCCCAACACCGATTTTTGCACTTGATGAAAAACACAAGTCTTTCTGGTTCCCACGCACAAGTTAGCTTTTTGAAAAGTCAGTCCACTCCAATCTTTCAATTTTCTAAGAGGGCACAGATTAATTATAACGTCCTCCACCCTTCGCTCAGCAAATTAAACGAGGTTTCCCAGAGAGGACCGGCAGGAGGATGGCTAACGTTAACTTGTGCGCAGCTGCGCGAAAACAAAAACAATGGCGATAGGAAAATACTCTGAAGACTCTAGTGTTTATGGGAGAAAAATGCAATGGAGGAAAAACTAAATTTGCAGCGGTAACTCGGTCCCAGGCTCTTACATAGGCTCACTTCAACACAGAAAGTCTACCTGTCTCCTCCGCTAGCCGGCTACTGACCTATCTGGGGTCTGGGCAAGATCCTTTCGATCTTTCTCTTCTAGACAAATGAGGCAAGGATACAAGATATGTGTGTATGTGTGTTAGCGTGTGTGTGTTACATATATATTTCCATCTAATTAAACAAAATCCTATGATTTTGTTAAAGTCGTCTAAGAAATAGACTCCTAAATCTTGTTAATTTCAGAAGTTTAGTTTTTTAAAATGAAAAAAAAATCATTTAAAATAATATTTTAACCAAATTTGTCCTTATACACTAAATAATGAAATAAAGCTTATGCTGTCAAGAATCTATTTAAACAAGCACACCTTCCAATCTTAATCAAAATTACGGTACCCTGAGTACCTCCCTCCGCCGCTCCCCCACCCGCAGTCAGAACTTGAGGCAGCAGAAGACTGATGCTAGGGCTTAAATTTTGTCTAGGAGATGAAAGAGCAATACTCATTAGCAACATACTTTTGTCTTTCTTGTAGCCTTGATTTCAAAGCTAGTCGCAAATCATAAGCTTTTGTGTTGCTCAGATGTTCCTTCTTTATCTTAATGAGAAAACTTTTCGCAAAGGAAGCGCGAACTGCTAGGTAAGTCAGTCCCTAGACTGCCGGGAGCGGTGGCGTTCCTCGGCTAGACCGGAGAGCTGCGGGTTTCAAGAGAATGACTAAAACGTTCAAGTCACCAGACTTCCACTTCCCCTTCTGCTTGCTTCAGAAAGAGATGTAACCTGAATCTTTGTTTAGGTTTGGTTGGGGAGAGAGAATTTAAAAGTCATGGCAAATGCAGGCAGATTTTTTTTTTTTTTAAGTCAAGTTAACGGGCCATCCCCAATTTTTTTTTCTTTAGTGCTAAACCTGAAGTCAGTTGGTGTGTCCTGATAAAGATCTTAACATGTAGAGAAGGCGGGTTTTTCTTAAAGAGGTGAGGCTATTTCTCCAGAAAAGCCTTTCCCCTACACGACCCCTCCCTTTATGTTAGGTTCCACCCTCTGGAAAACAAAACTTTTTTTTTTTTTTTTCTTTTCCTGGAGGGACAGAGCTCAGTGAAGTTGGGAAAGGAATTTTAAGAACTGTTCCTCAGAACGTGGTCAGGCCACAGCGGCCTCTTTGGACGAAGACACATTTGTAGCATTATCTTCCTCGGCATCAGCTTTTATTAGTGCACCGGGGCGGGGGAGGAGGGAGATCGACAGACACGGACAGCCTCTGACCCTCTGGAGTTGGTATGTGATAAGCAGCCCTAGCAGTGCCATGTATTGGAAGAGCGATCAGATGTTTGTGTGTAAACTAGAAGAAAAAGACGTGCCGGAGCTGGCAGTTCCCCCTGAGAAGGTGAGCGAGCCGACGCCTGGCCAAACCAGCTGAATCTCAGTATCCATGAAACTCGAGTTGTTTGGGCTCCTAAACGAGGTTCAAAAACTACCTATAACGGCCTCATCTTCAGACCTGGCAATTTTTTTTTTTTTTTTTTTTTTTTTTTTTTTTTTTTTTACGTAGTAGCCTTAGTCAGTAACCATTTGCCCTCCCTCCCCAAAAGCTCACTTAACCTGAGACATGGAGACTGTAATTTGGGAGATGAAGCCTTGAGCCTAAGGCGCTCTCAGGTCCATGTGAGTCGTACTTTTGTTCTATTTGCTGTGGTGATCGCTGCGGTCAGGGAGAGTGGGTCGGGAGGACCGGGCGGCTATCGGGTGGAACCCGAGAGCAGACTAGTTTCGCTCGGCTGGCTGCCCAGGGACATTAGCGAGCCCTGAGGCGCACCTCCCGCTGCGGAGCTCCAGAAAGGCCTCCGGGATCCCAGGGCTGGCCGGGAGAGACATTTTACCTAAAATGTCAAAAGTAAGCCGCAGGGCACAAAACGAGTCACGCGGTTTGTGTGAGTATATTGGGGAACCTGACAAGCTCTCACCTCACTCTGGAGGCACTACCTGTGGGTGTCTGGTGCTTTAAGTTTGAAATCATCTGCAGCCTGTCTGACGGCCTCAGTAGGACCCGCGCGGGGCGCCCCTGACTTTCTCTTTGCTCCGAAGTCTGTTGGGGACACCCGGCGAACACTGAGCTGTTCTGCTTAAACGCCCTTTGTGTGTGAGGACGCGGCCTCAGTGCAGCTACGCTGGGTCCACCGTAGGGAGCGCACCCCAGAAAGGAAGGGTCTCGCCAGAGGGTCCGGGAGGCCCCCAGGTTGGTATCTTGCCTGGTGCTTCCAGAGGAAGGGAGGAAGGGAGGCGAAGAGTCAGAAAAGTAGAAATGTGAGCCGTTCGAGTTCGGGGGATCCAACAGCCCCCGAGCTAGCGTTTTTGGAAACGAAAGCGGTCTAAGCCCACAGACGCTGCGTTTTGGTTTAAGAACAAAACTCCAGCAAAGACTTGGAAACACTTGAATAACGCGCGTTGTTTCTTTAAAACATTTTGACCGAGGTTGGGTGAGTTCTTTTAATGGCACAAATTGAATTCAGCTGGATATTTTCCATTATTCGACCCGCTTTTTGCGCTGGTTAAAAATAATCCTTTAGTAGCTCAAATGTTGACTTACTGAGCCATAAGTGGCAATTTACACCTTAAAGAAACGAGTATAAATCACTCGCGACTCTAATTGCTGTAAGTTTACGAAAGGGCTGCTGGCTCGGTTTAATCTGAAGCATTTTCATTCAAATTGTCATCGGAACAAACACCAGGCTTCTTAAATCCCGCTGTAATTAGCTTTCAAGTATCCTATTAAACCTCTTCACCTTTCGGGCTATCCTATTCAAAAAGCCCCCTTTTAAAAATATATATGTGTCTTGCTCTTTTAATTGAGGTTATTAAAGAAATCAAGTTTCTTCCCCCACCCCCTCCTCAATCCTCTTTTCTTCTCTCCCACTCCACCTCCTCCCGCCCCGCACCCACTTTAGCCCGGTGTTACCCGCTCCGCGATGATTGACGTCTGGAAAGAAAGCGCTTTGTGCGGGGATGATTGTTATTAACTTGTTATCCCCGGCGGCGGGGGCGGGGAACCGACGAGCCGGGGTGAGCGCCAGGGACCCGGAGCCCGGTGAGCGCCGCAGCGTGCGGGGCGAGCCACTGGCGCTCTGGTGGCGGCCGCCAGCGGCCGGCGAGGGAGGCTGCGCGCCAGCCCGCCCGCGGCGCCCGGGCTCTGGCGCCGTGACGGCTACAAGCGCTGCACCGCGCGCTGAGGGCCTTCATTAGCTCGCTCCCCGCGCGGAGGCTGGGGCGCGCGGCACGCTCGGAACTTTTGATCTGTTTTTCCATACTTTCTCCCTCTCCTACCCCGCAGTGCCAGGAGCTCATGTCGGAGGAGTGCGGGCAGGCTACAGCCCTGGCGGCCGGGAGAACTCGGAAAGGCGCCGGGGAAGAGGGACTGGTGAGTGCGGAGGGGCTCGGGTGTTGGCAAGACTGGCCCTGGGGAGGCCGCGCAGGACTAGGGGCCGCGGTCCCCGCGCTCCTTCCACGGCCCAGCTGGCCCCTCAGGGAGCGGACTGAGGACGCAGGACCGAGGACGGGGCGGGGCGAGGCGGGGGTGGGGTGAAGTGGGGTGGGACGCTTAGTTGGCCCGCGAAGAGGGCACGGCCGCAAGACTCCCGGGTTCCGAAGAGGCCAGGGGTCGGCAGACCCAGCGGGTGCATGGCCAGAGCTTGGACTCGGGGAAGAGGGCGAGAATCTTAACCTCAAGAAGCTGGGGGTGGGGTGGCGAAGGGGAAGGGAGGAGAGGCGGTGGGGAAGGGAGGGGAGGCGGTGGGGGTGCCCCTCTGGGTAGGTGGGATGCGAAGGGGAGGAGGGGTCTAGAACCTCCTGCGCCTGGCGGCTTCCTGCAGGTGAGCCCCGAGGGAGCGGGGGACGAGGACTCTTGCTCCTCCTCGGCCCAACTGTCCCCGTCGTCCTCGCCCCGGTCCATGGCCTCGGGCTCCGGCTGCCCCCCTGGCAAGTGTGTGTGCAACAGTTGCGGCCTGGAGATCGTGGACAAATACCTTCTCAAGGTACGACAGGGCCTCGGGCACGAGGCCCAGGGGGTGAGAGGGTAGCAGGAGCTCTGAGAAAAGAGAAATGTTCCTCCCACCAACCTTTCCGTTCAAGTTCTGGATGGAGGTTGTAGGCTTTCGCGGAACATCAGACTAATTTAGGGCAACTCATCCAATGGGATAAAGTGAGAAGAAACCCCAGACTCTTCCTTGTCGTTGCAAAGCAGCTTATGTGTGACACATCCTGGTTTGGACGCGCCGGATGCGTGTGGATGCGCTGGAGTCAGCTACCCACTTGTAGTGGAAGGGAAGTGGAAAAGCCCTTGTTCATTATGAGACAGAAACCTGCTTTTCTTTACCCAGCCCCGGATCATTCCTTTCTTAAATATCTTTGTTCCCTCTAAACTGACTGTGGTCTCTCCACCCCAGTAACGCCCACGCCCATGCCTGCTTAGAAGCATTTTACGACGGTATGTATTAACTGATTCCCCTTTGCAGTGTCTCTTGGTGAGAGTCACTGTAAAGTAGCTTAAAGGGTCTTTTATGGACAAATTTAAAAAATATAGTCCCATGTTTTTTACAGTTACCTGAGGCTTTTACAAAGTACCTAAACGTTTATAGGAGCATTTAAATAAAAACTATTTCAGTACCTTCCTCCTCTTATTAAAGTTTAATACTTTTAGGGCACTCAAATGCTGTTTTTATGTACTCTCCAGTGCTTAGGGAAAAAAATGGAAATTGATGTAAAGTTAGACACAGCCTGGGAAGAAGTGTTTCAAAGTGGTGGTTTGAGAGCTGATTGTCTTAATTTGTTTTACTTTTCTCTTAAAATATTGTGGGGGAATTTTGCAATAGACATTTTGGCAGGCCACAGTTATCCACCTCAGTGCAGACAGGATCATGGTCCCATGTGTCTTAATCAGAATATCATGGGGTTTCAACTTAAATAACTTTTTAAAACCACTATTTAAAATAATGGTCTCTCCTACACTGAATTAGTAGCAAACCAGTTCACCTTCTATTCTCTCCCCTCCCGGCTTAGGTTTCCAAAAGGATTAATTATGGAGAGTATGTGTTCAACAGTCGTGTTAGTGGGTTTCTTTAAACTTCTACCTCAACATACAAAGCTGCTTAGTCTGTAAAATGGGAGTACTACCCTATAGATAAAACCTAGAGAAAATGCCTAAAGAAGTTTTGGTAAAAAGATTTAAAAATGACTAAATTCATTTGCCTTGGTGGTTGATTCTTAAAGCTTGCAAATTAACATTGGCTTTCTCTTTAAATCTGCAGTCTTAAAATTCCACTTTCAATGTTGCTAAAACTGAGCCTTTGGATATTGCAAAATCATCTTTTGGGTTAAAACTAGCATCTTATTTTTAATGAGCCCTCTCAATAATTGGTGTAATCTGTAAGAATGTTTCTAAGTACAGTAGATCTATGAAGATTCTAACTCTTCACGGCAGAGAAGACATAGAAGGGTTATGATGAATGACATTTAACACACCCTCTGAAATAGTAGTTTCTAGTGTTAATCTTGTATATGTTTATATATATTTGTATTGCATAAAAATCCAACTTAGTTAAATAAAGCTTTCCTTTGTAATAGGGCAGGAGTCCTCTCAATGAAGTCTTCCATGTACAGTGTTACTCTACCACATCTTGTATGCTTTAGTGTGTAAGTTCTAACTAAAGTTTGATACTATATGATTAACAAAAACTGAATTATTAACTATTTTTCCATTTTGAGTACTTCCTGCGGATAAGTTTGAGTTTAACTTGAATCACTGATTAAAAAAAAAAAGTTAGACCTAGTATAGAAATATTATTTGAAGGTGTAACTAATATAGAAAAACACCATCTTGTGAGGCAAGTAAAATGGAGTTAGAATAGAAAAGTATGACAGGAATTGGATGCATCTATTGCCTCATATGATAGATACCTCAGTACTCTGTCCTTCAGGTGTTTTCTCTGGCTTGGTTGTATGTTTAGACGTATACAGATTAGATCAATAGTAGGCTTACAGTCTCCAGAATCTCCTCTCTTCACCTTAGTTTACTCCCTGGCAAAGAACTGGAAGATAAAAGGACATTTTAGGAGGAAAGTAAACTTTAAGAAAAGGTGGCAACCAGGTCTGGCTTTAGGAGGGAGTAAGAGAGAGGCCATGGCTCTTGCCCTAAAGCCTTGCTTTAAAAACAAAACAAAACAAAATCCTGGGTAAGACTGAAATACAGAAAGCCCTAAACAGCGGAATTCTAACGGAAGCCTGTTTTTCTAAACTTTATACTAGTTGGTCCCATTTTAGGAAAAAATTATAAGGAAATGACTTCTTCCAAGACAGTATTCAACATTGTTAATATTATTTATTCCAGTTTCCTTGGCTTTCTTTCTTATTTAACTACTGTCTATAGTGGGCATGTAAGTTCTAAGTTCTTGCAAAGAAAGACCAAAACTTTTTAAATGTCATCAGAATGAGACTCTCATTAATGCTTTGGAAAGAGACACAAAACTGTAATAAAGTTTTACTGACTTTTATAAGTCAGTAAAACTTTCGGCTTTGAAGCACCTTTTATATCACAGAAAAACATGTTGGACAGTAGTTCTAATTTGATAAAATCATTGGACACATAGTCTTTATTATGAAATAGTCATGCAAAAGTCATATCTCACAGTTATTTACTTTCCTATTTTAATCATTGAATCCATTTTTAGGGTGTAATTGGTGTTTTTATATGTTACTGTTCTTTTACATGAAATTTAAGCATAAATCAAGTTCTTGTGTCCACTTAACAAGAGCAAACTTTGGGAACCTGCATTGCATGCAGGTCAGTTCTGTCTAATACACATCTTCATACTCCAGGGATAAAGTTGTAGTCCTTCTAATATGATGGCAACAGTTTAAAGTGAGAGTAATTGTGACTTATTCCCTGAATTAACAATATTTCTTATTATTATTTAGAAAGTATAAAATACTGGCCTTATTAAACACCATCTTATATTTTAGTACTTGAAGTGGAAGTGAAAAACAATGTGTGGGTGCTTTTTTAGAACCACTTATGGTTAGATTTATTTTTTTCTCCTGTAGCAAAATCAGTAAGCAGTTTTACCAATATACTTTACTACCTACTTCTATTGTTTCTGTACAGCTGCTTAATGTTAGAAGAAAGCCCAGGCTTCTGCTACATCAACCTTTAAATTTATCTTAGTAATTTATGTCTTGTAAGGGTGACTGTCTTACAAAGCTGCTTTTTCACTTTCTTTATTGCTGTTTAGTGGGTATACAGTTTATAATGGTTTAGCCAAAAAAATAGGTTGAGTAGTATGTACTTTGTCCTCTTTATGAGGTTTTATGGGGGGAAGAACTTGGTAAAATATATGTAAGACTTTAAAGTGACCAAAACGTTGCCTGTGTTCATGAAGGTTCCATTTAAGATAGAAAGAAAAAGCAACCTGAATTCTTCAAAGGAATAAAAAACATATATAAACACAAAATGTGGCATATATTAGTATAATTTTTTTGGTTGAGGTCTAAAAGAGAATATATTCAGAACCATGTTTACAAAAATGACACCTTTGGGATGAAAACATTCAGAGCATATGTTAATATATTCAGGGCCAGTTTTTCAAATTGCCCAATACACAAAGCCAATGAATGCTTTTCTTAAATATGGTATTACAGTGGCTTCTCCTCCCTTCGCAGGTGAATGACCTATGCTGGCATGTCCGGTGTCTCTCCTGCAGTGTTTGCAGAACCTCCCTAGGAAGGCACACCAGCTGCTATATTAAAGACAAAGACATTTTCTGCAAACTTGATTATTTCAGGTATGCTATGAAGCCGTTTCTTAGTAGATGCTTCAAGAAATTGTTATGCAAAGAGACTTCTGTGATAGGCTTTTTCTTGTTCAGTTTTATTTAATGAAGCCCAGTTTTTCTTATTTAATAGATTTCAAAATGAGGGTGCTTTCATGTTTGTGGTATAATTTGTATTAAATAAGCATGCTTACCCTTTTTAGGAATTCAGTAGACAAAAGTTAATTTTAAGTAATATTTCCACTTTGGGGAGTGAAAGTTTGAGGCATTACAAACAGGGAAACTTTTTTTTGCTGTGCATAGGTATGAAGTATGAAATACAAGATGACTTATGACAAAGCCCTTGTTTGATGGGAATGGTTAGATGAAATAAAATCATTATGGGGGATAAAAATCAAGGTTTTATTATGCTTTTACCCATTTACCATAGACTGATCCCTAGATATATACCCATAAAATTCTAAGGATTTGGATACCATGATAAACCATGTTCTTCAGAAGAATTGACCATTCTGGTATCATAAATACACCAAATCTAATTCCGCCTAAAACTATTTCTTTTCTCCGATCTTCAGTTTCTGAAATTATATTTAGATGAGATATAACATTATCTCTGTGTGATCTCTTTATAGTTTAAATGTAAAGTTTCTTCCAAGATGTAATTCTGTATGAACAGCTGCCTAGAAATTAATTCTCAAGAATGACTTTTAAAAATTAAATCATTTTTTCTTTATTTACTTTTCTAAATGAAGAAAAAATGTTCATTGTGAAATGGGAAAATTAATACTATATAATGAAGGTTATAATACTACATATGTTTATACTACATTTCAAAAAATGATTTCAAGGAGTTTAGTGATTAATTTGAATAAAAATTGCTGGGTAATTTAAAGTAATTTATGAAACCCAGAGTCTTTTATAAAATCATAGAATTTTATAATTACCAAAAAGGTATATTTCTCAGCAGGTTTATTCTTCATTACTTCAATGATGGTAATAATTTGCTTCCTCTTTCACTTGGGATAGGCTAATTTTAATTTTTTGTAGTAACTTTTAAAGCCCTTTGAAAGGTTTGGTTTGAAAGATTGGACAAGTGGAAGTCTAGTTCTTTAGGATTTTTTAACTCTTTGCTTCATGTTGTATTATATTCTGAAATTAATCGTCAGGATTCTGTTTTTCAGAGTAACTAAACAAACTGGTGATAGCTTTAAAGATGTATCTATCAATAAATAGACATTGACTAATCTAGTGTGATTTGGGCATGCCAGGCCACGACTGTAACTGTGGTAGGAAACATGACAAAGAGTGTCTAGTCACTCAGGCTATAAGAAAAAAAAAAAAGAAATATTTACATATAGCTTTGGCATTTTAAGATTGACCTGCATTTAGTGTCCATTTAGGACTCTGAAAATTTAGATAATATTTCCTTCCTCCTCTGGATAGCAATACAATAGATTTTTCACCAAAGGAAACATTTCTGACTTTTCCTTTCTCACCCACCAAGGTCAAGAATTTCAGTTCTGTACATTCTTTGATAATTTCAACGTTAAGTTTTTACATGTTTTAACATCCTAAAAATGATATTTAAATCATTTTCTAATCATTTTAACTTGGTTTTAAGAAGTCATTATGTATATCTTCAGTTTTTCAGTATAAATATCTTCAGCATAATTTTGCACTTTTAGATTTTCAGTCTGGATAATATGTGTGTTTACCTTAAGTAAATTTATAAATGGACTGATATTTGATACAACAAAAAGGATTTTAAAACTCATTTTAAAAGAAAAGCTCAATCTTCTTTATAGGAACAGAGAGAAGGTCTTATTTATATAAACAAGTTTGAGTTGTGACTCTATCTCAGCTTGATTGCATACCATATTGACTTTTAGAAAAATACTTGATTCTTGTTTCATTTTCAAAATATTTAAATACTTAGGTTATTTCAATGTGGCAACATAATGTGCTGGTTTAATATTCAACTGATGAATATCTCACCAGGAATTAAATCTTTACCTTCTACACCTCTATTTAATGTAGAAGGTATGGAACTCGCTGCTCTCGATGTGGGAGACACATCCACTCTACTGATTGGGTCCGGAGAGCCAAGGGGAATGTCTATCACTTGGCATGCTTCGCTTGCTTTTCCTGCAAAAGGCAACTTTCCACAGGAGAGGAGTTTGCTTTGGTGGAAGAGAAAGTCCTCTGCAGAGTGCATTATGATTGCATGCTGGATAATTTAAAAAGAGAAGTAGAAAATGGTAAATATGTACTTAAATACTTTTGAGTATTTTGAGACAATGAATACAAAAATAAAAATAATTTTTCCTAAGGTCACTTAATGCATTATTTTGTACAACGTATAATTGTAGTGAAACTTACTAAGTACTCTACCGTTCTTGATGGTCTCTATTTGTTTGTTTATAACGAAAGCCACAGTGTATGTATAAGTTTTATGCCATATTCTCAGGCAGCAGCTTTGAGTTAGGGTTTTGCTCTTCTTTTTGTAAATACTTATTTTCCTGTATTTGCTGGGCCTTAGATACATACTTCTAACTTTTTGAACTTTTCACTAAATATACAAGCCTGTAAATGGAATATTTTTTGTGCAGTATATCTGTAGTATATTTTAAAACTTAAGGGGTTTTACAATCTAACAAAACATATACAATTACACAAAAAGCCAAGAGATATAAGAAACCTGTTATTACAAGATGGGTGTACCCATTTGAAGTACCAACATGTATAGTATGTTTTTTAAATACAGGTAATGGGATTAGTGTGGAAGGCGCCCTCCTCACAGAGCAAGATGTTAACCATCCAAAACCAGCAAAAAGAGCTCGGACCAGCTTTACAGCAGATCAGCTTCAGGTAAGCATAACAATGAAATTTTGATTTTTGAAGCCCCCCACCCCAAAAAAGGCAATCTCCATGCTGCCTAAAAACATTTTTCTGTTTTCTTAAAAAATTAGCCTATGTCTTTTATGAAAACTAATTTGGTGAATATATGAAAACATATTTATTTCCCAAAAATGTTTGTCAGTATTTCTAACATCATAATATGATATGAAATAGTCATTCAAGCTTTGTTTCCCTGGGGTCTATTGGTATCAACATCAAAGGGGAAACAAAATGTTTTGTTCCTGATAACATCATTCAGAACCAGGCAATTATCTTAATACCCATAATTGCAATGAAAGACAAAATATTTTGAGACTCTGAAAAGAGACATACAGTATGTAAGTCTATGGGACGCTAATGTGTTAGTCTTTTTAACAAACTGCAATGAGTCATTTAATGAACACAATTGTATGGTTTTTGATTAGGAAATAATTGAAAGTGCCTTAATGTAAACAGAAAACTACTGGTTGATTACGACAAAGTAGATTCCTTTATGTTTTTAAAGGTGATAAAGGGAGTACTTCTATACTTTGATGCTAAATATTTATTATGTCCCCTGAAATGGGAGTGATTTTTTTGAGCTTAGTTGCCCTAAATATGATTGTCATAAATTTGATCTATACAAATTGTCAAAATAAATTACTCCTTTCTTCATATTTAAGTCCACACATGTATAATGATTCTTTCTGGCATTTTTGCAGATAATGAAATCACATTTTCTAAAAGATGAATGTGGCTGAGGTATTTGTTTCATGTTAAGGAAAAGTAACATTTATTGAACACCTACCACACTGCTAGATACCTTATACATAGTATCCATTTTAGCTCAGACTTTAAAGGACATTTATGCAGTGTTACCAAATGAATAAAAGTAATTTTTTTCCAAAATTACCTGTAGTATTCTAAGACCTGCCAGTATTTAAGTGTTTCAAAAGATAATTTTTATTTTGAGAATGATTTAGAAAAGAAACCTTGATGTGACACACACATTCCAAAGGAACGTGGCAGTGGGAAGCACTCTAGCATTAAAATCTAGATCCATTCAGAAGAATTTTCCAAATGGATGATTTTTTAGATTTCTTAATTTAGGCATAAAGTACATGGCCAATAAGGAATAAATGAAAGATAAGGCGATTAAAAGAAATATCTCTCTTTGAGCCTTGCGTTCTGGGTTCTTCACTGGATTATAATGAAGGTCACACAATGGCCTAAGTCAGAAAATGTAAGTACTTCTGAGAGACCTGGAAAAATTCTCAGTCATTAAAGGTGTCTGAGTTAAAATTAGAATCTCTAATATAATTCTGTTTTTACAATGGTCTGTTCCCATGAAGGGCTGGCTATAATTCTAATAATTACAGGGTTGATAACTTTTATTTGATATAATAATTTATTATTAAAATTGTGAAAATTTGAAACCACTGTAGATAGACACTTTTCTATGGAAAAATAATTGTAAATTCTAATTAAATAAAACAGGAATAATATTTGCAGAGGTCTTTTTATTCCAAGTCCTATACCAAGCATTTATCTACATTATCTCCTTTAACTTTACGACAAACCTCATTCAAGAGTGCAGGAACTCCTCAAGGCAAACCACCAAGGGAATGGCGGAGAAGAGATTTGGAACCTTCTCCTCCAACCTCTGGTCTCTTCATTTCGCTTGATCTTCCAGGAGACCATAAGTGGAACTCTGTCTTATCAAAACTCCACTTAATAGCGGCAGAAGTTTAAACAAAAGAGTGAGATTTTGAATCTTGTAGATAGCTTTATGGTTAAGCATGCATAAATATTTAAGCCATGCATTATGGTATATAAATGTGATATGAATCACAAGTTGTTGTTTTTTTTTTTAATTTTTAAAGAAAAGAGTTTTAATAAGTTTAATTGGCTCCTGGTTCTGCAGGCTGTACTGAACCATAAGTTTTAAAAATTGTATATCAGAATAATAGGTTTTAAAATCTGAAAGCATATGCTTTCAAAGTATATTCACATTCAGTATTTATTAGCATTTGTCTTACAGAAGGGGTGGCTGAAACAAATGAGATACAGTCTTTGTCCTAAAGTGGTTCTTTATAATTTAGGAATCTGAAATAGCTATAGATATTAAAAAAAAAAAACAAACCTTGAATCATTTATTTTAGCCAGACCCTCTAATAAATCGGGCAATATGTATCCTGATTGTCAAACTGTTCTACCTTTCAGAATGCTGAATATTTTCAAGTAGAGCTTAAATTGGGGAAGATAATAAAATATTGCATGTGACCAGTGAGTACGTCAAGGCTATCTAGTCAGTACCTACTCTGGACAGAGGAGAGTTAAAATGGAAGGGATAAATAAGAGAATTTTCCAAAATTCTTTAGAAATTTATGGGTAGAAAAAAATAGTTTAAGACTCAGAGGACATATTGGCAAATATATTTCAAATACTGTCCCATTTGTAGAAATGATATTTAGGAAGTTTACGCTAATATGATGGCTTGCTAATTGTAGGTAGAAGCACTTATTTAATGTTTATTAATATTAAAACACCAAGGTTAGCTTCTTCTTTAGTCTGTTTTCATATAAAGTTGGTCAGCTGCTGCTTTGCAGCCTCCTGAATTTTCTGGTAGATCTCCTGGGTTTAAAATGATGAGTGCCTACAGAGGCTCACTACTTGTCCATGTTAGAAGAACGTGGAAAAGGGGTGAAGTGGATTTTAGCACCATTAGTGCCTAGAGAATAGTGAAGCTAAGTAGAAATTAAAAGGACCTGTTTTTTTCTTTTTCTGTGTATAAGACTAATCATTGATACTATTGAAAAGAAGAACAATCAACTTATCTTACTTTTCCTTGAGAGTATTTCAGTTCTAAACTATCAGAGTTGTTTTGCTTTACCCTTTAATGAGAAATTACTTCATTAAATATAATTCGGTTCCATTGTTTAATTTGTGAATTTAAAAATGCATTTACGAAAAGCATGCAGTTTCTGTTTTGTAAATTATTAATAATGACCTTACAAATTCCTAAATCTGTTCAACTTTTTTCTATTTGAAAAATTAAAAAACAAAGACATAATTTTCGTGTTCTTTTTCCCTTTGGGATATTACATGTCCAACTGCATAGAAACACAACTCTATTTTCACGGGGAGGTGTCAAAATAACACATTTGGAGTAGGAAAGAAAGAATAAAGTGAACTGAGCAAGAATAAACTTTTAAGCCAATTCTGCCCTTCTTTAAAACCAAACATCCATGTTCTGTTTATAGTGATCTGTAGATACAATATAGCTAGATGGGAAGTCAAGAATATTTAATTCTAGAAGGGTCAGTAATCAGAGAAAACTAAGTAAAATATAATTCATAAACCTCAGAAGGTTTCCCAGAACAACATTGGCCTTTTTTCTACACTATCTTCAGGTTTTCCTGTATTGTCAAGTTTTATTCTATCACAAACTCTTAACATACTCTCTGACAGAAAGGGAGTTTAATTAACTCCTAGGCATATGAAGAATAAGACATTCTTTTTGATCTCAAGGAACTCACTTTCCACTATGGAGAGTGGACTTGAAAACAAATTATTTAGCTACCCTGTAACAAGTGCAGTGGCAGAAGAAAGCATTATATAAGGACCATAGTGCAGAATGCAATTAATTTTGTCTGCTGTAAAGATCATGGAGGCTAGCAGTGCTTGAGGTCTCCAGATAGATTGGTTGCTCACATCCTATGCCAGCAGACAAGCACAATCCCATTGAGTGCCAAACTCCTCTTTCTCATTCTTTATAATAATACATTTTTTACATTGTGTAATTCTTCCCTCAGTTGACTGACTTTTAGTAATAAAATTTAAGTATCTCACTTAATTCTCATAACGATTCTCTTTTCTGAAAGAATTCAAAGTTTTTGGCTTATTCTGGTATTCTCTCCCACTCTACTCTTCTCCCTTTTATTTATAGGTGGTTATTGGCATATCAGTATCTTTCTGCCAGGAAATTAAAACCAAAGAGTTTTGTTTCATGTCTCTATCTTTTAGAACTTGGCATAGTGATTTCAATCCAAAGGTTTACATCAGAATCACCTGTAAGATTTTTAAATATATACATGTTTAGACCCTGGTAAATTCTTATTCAGTGGCCTGATGGGTGTCTCTTTTTAGACTCTTTTTTTT